CCCTATGAATGTTGTAAGTGTAGAAAAACCTTCTGCCAAAAGTCAGCCCTGACTACACATCACAAGATTCACATAGGAGAGAAGACCTATAAGTGTAACAAATGTAAGAAAACCTTCTGTCAGAAGTCAGGCCTTGCCGTCCATCAGAAAATTCTCACCAAAGAAAAATCCTTTGAATGTAATGAGTATGGAAAAACATTTTGCATGCAGTCAGATCTCACTATATATCACAGAACTCACACAGGGGAAAAGCCTTATTAGTGCAATGAATGTGAAGAAAGCTTTTGCCAGAAGACAAACCTAAGGAGGCACCAGAGCACTCACACAGGGGAGAAGCTCTTTGTGTTCACCAAGTGTAGGAAGGCCTCCTACCAGAAACTAGAGGTCACCAAGCATGGGAGAATTCACATTGGTGAGAAGCCCTACAGGTGCAATGAATGTGGAAAAACATTTGTGTGAAATCAAACCTCAGCTCTTATCAGAGAACTCACTCTGGGGAGAAACTATATGAATGTAAAGAATGCAGAAGAATGTTCTTTCCTAAGTCAGATCTCACTGTTCACCAGAGGACTCACACCAGTGAGAGACCCCATGAATGTGAATGTGGGAAGACATTTAGCCTGAAGTCAGCCCTCACTAAACACCACAGAACTCACATGGGGGAAAAGCCCTACACATGTAAGTGTAGAAGGGCCTTTTGCCAGAAGTCACACCTCAGAAGATTCACAAGGAGAAGTTCTGTGTGGCAGAGACCGACTCTGTTCTCTACAAACTATTCTCCATTTTTATAGGACACATGGCTAACTCAAATTTCTCAGCCTTTCCTTCTCATGGCCAAAAACGTGAAATTGAGTTCTGTCTAGCACAATATCAATGAAACTAATGACGGTTACCTCCAGGCCAGGTAATAAAAACGTATCCTTGTGATTCGCCCTGATTTCTCATAATCTTTGAGATGGCATTGGTGATGGGACTGAGTGGACTTGGGAGTTGCATGCCAGAGAAGGTCACTGTGGTTTAAGACAGAAGGAACTGACTGAAGAGATCAAAGATCTTCCTACCCCATCCCCAAACCTTTCATTTATACTTCATGTGAGAAATGCTTTGTTGAGCCATTGTTTTTGTGACCTGTTTGCATTTCAGTAACACGCTGAAGCTAACACACTGTATGAGGTTCTCAAGATAAGTTTCCAGTGCTCATATATCAGAAAATTCACATAGGAGAGAAACCTATATCATCATATTTATACCCAGGTCAGTTTAGAGAAAACTAAAAAATTCACAGGGATAAACAGTGCAACCAATTGGGAATGCTTTATGTGGCAGAGATCTCATTGAACACTGAAAACAAATTTTTACAGATGTCAAAAAAAAAGTTTGAGCCTAGTCTAGGTAAATTAGTAAGACCTTGTCTCAAAATAAAAATTTAAAAAGGGCTAGGGGTGTAGCTGAGTGACACAGTGCTTGGCCAGCATGTATGACGTCCTAGGTTTGATATCTAGCACCAAAAAGGGAAGGGGAAAAAAAGCCCTCCTAAATAACCTAATATATGTAAAATAGCCTAGCATGGGACCTGGCACATGGCAGGTGATTTTTTTTCTTGTTCTCTTATTAATAGATGTATTCGTTATGTTATAAATTAGGTCAAAGGAGTGTTAGTCATGATGACAGAATGAAAAAAATATGATTACAAGAAGATAAAGGGCCAACAGTTGTAAATAAGAGCTGAAATAAATACCCTCTGCTCTGTTTTCAGTTACCCATCTTCCTTAGGTTTTTTGTTTTCAGCCACATCAAAGAGAAGCAACTGTGAATGTGCTCTATTACATATACTTTCAGAGAAAAGAAACATAGTAATGGCACCAAAATGAAGAAAACTGTCCTTAAAGTCATTATTTACAACAGACTAGCAGGAGGTCAGCCATCATTTTATTAAAACTGGAAAAGTACATTCTATTTTCAAAGGAACAAATGATGATAGGTCTCCATAAAATATGTAATTAGTATGTCTTGAGTGGTGTGGGGAAAGACTTCAGAGAATATTTTTTTCTTTTTTGCTTAAATTCATTTATGTTAATGTGTTTTAAGTACCTTGGTACTACGTAAAATTAGATTCCAAATAAACAGTAAAATGTGATCTATTCTAATACATCATTTAAAAGAAACTTGTAAAAATATGTTCATATACAATAATCACAAAATTATGTAGAAGTTTGGGAATGCTCATTTTTTCTTTCTAGTTTGTACTGAAAAACCAGCGAAAAGTCCTTAAATGATACCGGTGCATAGGCATGGAAAGAGGCTTGGGAGGAAGCTGTGACATTTCAAGGGAAAATGCATCATAGACTCACTTCATTTTAAAGTTTAAAAGTACATTGGGATCATAGATACTTCAGAGGTTTCATCAACAGAACTATGTTTTAACCCATTTATGCAGAGGATTGCAATTTTTTGAATTTTTACGTGAAATTCATATGTTACCTAGAAAAATTCAAGGAACAAGAATTTGAAGAGAAACAATTTCAGTATGTTCACCTATAATAGGTGCTCTGAAATTGGAACACTAGGTATTCAATGGCTAAAAGGTTTCTGTTTTAAACTAGGCAAGGTGGTACATGGTGGTAATTACAGCTACTTGGGAGGTTAAGGAAGGAGGATTGTAAATCTGAGGTCAGCCTGGGCAATTTAGCGAGATTCTGCCTCAAAATAAAAATAAAAAGGTCTAGGGGCTGGGGATTTAGCTCAGTGGTTTCACAGCCTGCTGCGCAAGCACAAGGACCCAAGTTCGATCCCTGGTATCAAAAAAAAAAAACAACCCATAAAAAGGTCTAGAGTTGTGGCTCAATGCTTGAGTCCTTACCCAGTGTGAATAGGGCCATGGGTTTAAATTCTCAGAAACAAAAATAAAAAGGGGAGGTCTTTTATGTTTAACATCCTTAATTATAAATAACACATACTCTCAATGTGTTCACATACCACATCTTAACAATGGAATTCATCAAAACATTCACCTCACTTACTAATTAAATTAGTTTTTGTGAAGAATTCAGAATAAAGCTCTTCCATCATTCTGAGATTGTCTTACAAGTGTCTTAGTCACTTTCTCGTCTGCTAAGACACAATACCTGATACCTACAACTTAAAGGAGAAGTTTATTTTTCCTCACATTTCAGTTCATGGTCAGCTGGCTTCAATGAAGAAACAGCATAGCAGAGAAACAGCAGAGGAAAAGCTGTTCATCTCATGGTAACCAGGAAGCAGAGTGAAGGGCCCTGGAGTTCTCAACTGAAAGCTTCACAGCTTGGCAACCTTGAGCCTGAGATCAGTGGAGTCTTTCAGATTTCTCATATGCCTTCAAGGCATCTTTCCTGTTGTCCCGATATAAGTACATAGCTTCTTTTTAATTTTAATCTTTTCAGCAACCAAACTCTTTTCTGTTCCAACTTTATAGGCCTGTTCTTTTTTGGCAAAACTAAAAACTTTTAAAATGAGCTCTTTGGGGCCAGGGATTTAGCTTAGTGGTGGTGCACCTGACTTGCAAGTGCAAGGTCCTAAATAAATAAAAAATTAAAAAAAATGAGCTTTTTGTTCCTATTTTTTTTAGCATAAACCTGGTTAAAAGCAGCAATGTTACAACCATGTTACAACCCAAACACTGGGGCTGCCTTGAAATTTTCCCTATCAGATTAATTAGTTTATCACATATAATCTCAGTCTCTCAATTTCAGGATGAACAAAATGTAGATAAATTTCCTGCCAGGGCATAATACATGGCCTGGAGTCCAACTGCCACTGGAGTCCTTGTTCCCAACTGAAAATTCCTGAACCTGGTCTTTATCATCTGCCTTTTAAATTATCATTTTGGTTTTCTGAGCTCTGACACCAAAATATTACACTAAGTCAAAGAAGTTTGACACAGATGGTCATATATTTTGATTCCATTTATATAGCACATTCAGAATAGGGACACCCATTCAGACAGGAAGCCAACAGGGGATAGTAAAGGATAGAGAGTTACTGCTAAATGGGCCCAGGGTTTCTTTCTGGGGTACTGAAAGCAATTTGGAATTACACAGAAGTATGGTTGCACAACATTGTAAATGTACTAAATGCCACTGAGTTTTTCACTTTAAAACAATTAATTGTAATTGTTAATTACAACAATTAATTGTAAATTTTGCCATAAAGGAAAAAAAACCCAGTGCTTTTTCAGTACATTTTTTTTTTAATTGCACAACTAAGAAATGGGTCTATTGTACAGAACACTATGTTGATTATGTGGTTGGAGTAAATAGTCCTACTTGAGTATTCCAAAGAGTAGCTTCTCAGATTCAGTATTTGCTGGTAAATTTCTAATAGTGTATTTGTGTAAAGTTTGGTTTTGTGTGTGTGTTTTTTTTGGTACCGGGGATCAAACTTGGGACCTTGCGCTTGCAAGGCAGGCGCTGGAAACACTGAGCTAAATCCCCCGCCCCCAGTGTGTAAAGTTTGTAATTTCATTTTCAATACAGTACAGCTGCCATCATTGATCCCCAATTTGCTGACTTTTAAGCTACTTGGTCAAAAATCCTTTCTTCTTAAAACACAGAGAGTTAATAAGCATCTCAAGCTTTTTTCTTTTTTAATGATGCCTGCACTATCAGATTATTCTAGTGTTTTTCCTTTTGTTTGGCATATCATCATGCACAATCTTTTTATTTCTTTGAGGTGGGAGTATATTTTTATTTCATAATGCAATGATCAAATTATTAAGTGTTTGTGCAGCTCAAAAAAAAGATACGTTAAGGGGAGGGAAACACTGGTCTAGTTGCAAGGAACACTTAAGCCAAGTTTTATGTTTGGTTGTATTGTCTTTGTATATTATAAACATTTATTTAACTTGTTGCAGTTTGAAGTAAAAAGTTACCAAAATGTATGCTGAACAATAATCATTAAAATGTTTGAAGCATATAACAAAGCAAAGGAAAACAAGACAAGACAAGACAAGACAAAACACATACCTGGAAGACAAGGTTGATGTAGCTGAGGTACTACGTCTAGCTCTGGAGGTACAGATACTTCCTCAGAAACATACTTTAAAAGCTCCTTCCCCAGATATGTTACCTGCACATAATTTAAAACACAACTGAAAAATCATACATTCTGTAAGAGGGAAATACATCTATCTTTTAAAAACAGTAATTTGTAAACTATTATACACTAAACTATAGCTTACAGCCAAATCCAGCCTGTCATCCTTCTGTAAATAACATTTTATTGGAATAGAGTGACACTCATTTCCTTAGCATTTCTGGCTGCTTTGTGAAGAAACAGAATTGAGAAGTTGTGAAAGAGACTATGTGTCTATGAAATATTATTTACTATCTGGCCCTTCACAAAAAATTTTGTTGATTCTCTATTGTATATCAATTCTCTCATACATTCACTTGTTCAACAACCATTAATATAGCATCGAATACTTATAAACTTCAAAAAAGTAACAGTACGTTAATATAATTAAGCCATACAAGTAATGGTACTCCTCAAGAAATGAAACAGTAACCTGATGAGACTGATAACATTTCAGGACTAGACAGCCATTTAAAAATTGTTTGTGAACATAAATATTATTACCAGCCCCAAAGGCTAGAGTTAAAAAATATCTGTACATGAATGGGCAAGGCCAAGGCTGCTGGCAAATAACTGCCAAAAACATTCTGGACCCAAAGGTCTTTGAATTCTCACCCTTTGGTCTACTGGGTAGGTTCAGTGTGGGCAGAACATCAAGTCTCAACATGAACATCCTTTCCTTATCTTCCCGTAACTGCTAAGCTTAATGGCCATATTCTAGGCTCTCACACAATGAGGAATGGTGTCATTTCTTAAATTCTTATTTCTGTGTTCCTATCGCTGCCATAATATTTATCCCATTTAAATAAAATTATATTTTAATGTGTCTTGTTTCCATTAAACTATAAGGTTCTTGAGGATGTGTCAAGTTCAGTTTTATACCTTTAGCAGTTCAGAGTGCCGACATTATTCAGTAAAAGACTAAAGTACAAACACTTAAACAAAATCCCTAAATTCCCAGCCTCGATTTGTATGTCTGTCAAAAAAGAACATTCAGTTTACCAAGTACTGAGTATTAAAAGAGATAATGCACAAAAAGCATTTGTTATACTGTCTAGCATATCCTGATGGCCTGTTAAATTGGACAGCATGAGAAAAGTATAAGGGATGTGTAAAGTATAGGAGAAACCATTCAGGCTCAAACCCACAACTAAAAAAAGAAGCCTTTTATTTTTTTGTATATCCTTTTATTGGTATTTTAGGTGTACAATACAATGACATTCATCACTGGAGATATGCATCTTTACATACTCTCTTGGTTCTTATTTTTTCCCCCATCCCTTGCCCTTCCTTCAACCCCTCCTTCCCTCCCTATTTACAAAGACCTTGTTTCCGTTTTTTCATTTTCTCATATTAATTCCATTCCCTTCTTTCCTTTCCCCTGCTCCTCCCACTACCCCTACCCCTTTGGACCCTTTCTTCCTATTTTGCATTATCGATTATTCATTATAATCATTGGTACATTTTAGGTATACAATATAATGACATTCATCATTGGAAATTTGCACCT